CGTCTTTCCTCCATCGTCTCACGAGATTCTCCCTCGATGGTGTCACGAGAGCTGCAGGAAATGGTGAGCACCTCGCAGACCTTCCTGTACCCAGCCGAGGGGAAGCCAGTACAAGCGGGGGCACAGGAAGGCTCCAGTCCCCCAGGTGCACAGACGTTAACGGGGCCCCAAGAGGTGGAGGGGCCTCCGAGGGAGATGGAGCCGAGTGATTTAGAGGAAAGAGCGCCAGGCAGGCCAATGAAAGAGCTGCCAATGTGCCCAAAGGACCCGGCTCTGCATGTGACCTTCACTGACGAGACCGCAAACACGCAGGAGAAATGCATATGACTGTCAGCATGACCTCTAAAAAAGCATTCCTCACTAGGAACATAACTCATAAGGAGCGCTGCAAAGAAAGGAAAAGCATCTGAAGACTGAACATCTTGCAGGCTGCTGTTTGACGGATGTAAAACTGAACTAAATACTCATTCTCAATGTGTAAATCTTCAGTCATATCTTTCTACGAAACACACTTAAAACGTTGCATAACACAACAGTTTTATCAAAGAAACCAGAACAATAAGACTTTGTAGACAAGCTCTTCTGTTGCACTTTTTGAATTGTAGAACCACTGCGAGGCTGTGTCGACAACCTGCACCATGACTGTAAAACATGTACAAAATGTGAAAAGTGATCCATGATGTTAATTTATTATATGTGTGTATTTGATGTCTTCTCTGTGAGAAGGTCAAGATGGGATTGAGCCATTTTAAATCGGTTTGAAGATGAATGTGTTCAGTTTTTTTTAAGGTACTTAGAAACATTTGCAAACAATTTGGTCTTACGGTTTCACCAATCAGCTCTGACTTCAAAGATAACTTTTAATGATCTCCTACATTTCATATCAAAAGGCAGCTACACTGAGGGCTTTTCCACAACGCAGACACTTTAGGATGTTAGCCGGACTCCTAAAGAAAACTAATGTGTACATTCAGTCTTTCCAGCCCATTACATTGCAGGGATTCATCCATTTCCATCTTGTTCTCACCTTAATGTAATGTGCAATTCCTCTCATCTAAGAGGGAATTAAGAAAGGGAACGAAAACTGATGACTTTGTTAAGTTTCCTCTCTGATGAGTTTAAAGGTCTTGCCTTTTTGGGTTTCCCTGTGGCATTAATTATATTGTTGCTATAAAGATTGATATAAATGCCATGTTCATATTTCAATTCTAAAGTTGTTGTTGTAGCAGCAGCTGGTGTTAAATTGACCTGCAAAATGTTGACTCATCTTGTAACAAACTCATAAATAAACCAAAATAAAAGTTGGTAAATATTCAAATATATTTGTGTCACTCTTTTTGGTGTTGTTTAGTACGACAGTGAATGGAGTTGATATGATATTAAGCTAACATATGCATCATAAATAGTTAGTGTGCTTTAAAGTAGAACAGGGAGATCTATATTATTATATAACAAATATATATCTTTTAAATTATATATACATTTGAGGATTCTATGTTTTTTATATATATAAATAACATCTTTTTGGACATGCAAACACAAAACAATGGGCATTTCACTCATTTCTGACATTTTATAGACCAAAAGAATAACTGAGAAATAATCTGAAAGGTAATCGAAAATGAGAATAATCCTGAGTTACTGCCCTTTCTGTACAGAAAATACATCTATTTCACCGTAGAAAAGGCTTCTGATAGCAACCTCATCACTGAATCATGGCCGGATAAAAAAATATTGATCTGTGCTCAATAAAAGGACTGATTATGGAAATGAAAGTCAATACTGATCTTTTGGAATGAATGGATGGCGGGCACATCTTTAAAGTGGCCCATTATGCTCATTTTCAGGTTTCACAATTGTATTTTGTTCCTTCACTGACATGAACCTACTGAAAAGCAAAGAAATGCTGCAAAGATTTACATAAAACAATAATAACTTAAAAGCGCTGCTTATTTATTTCTAAGCAAAAACAGAAGATCATTCCAAGTGAAATGTAAGCATGTTTTCAGATCAATGCTCTACAAAAACATGTTCCTTTGCCAGCCCGTCACAGTCAGTGCCATTCAGCATCTGACAAAATGCAGATCAGCTTTCTTCTCTTCAATCTCTTAACGGACTGATTGTTTCAACACATTTCTAACCACTATCCAGTTCAGATGGCACAGGCCGCTCACCTGCAGACGGATGGTTTCCTCACCCTTCCAGATCCAACATGGCCGACGTCCAGAGGCTTCCCAGAGCCGTTAAACCTCCCTCTGAGAACAATATCCCGTTAAACAGAGCGCTGACCTCAGACCCAGAAATCTGCTAAAGCTGGGGAGTCTCTCGGGAAATAGTGATTGACAAAACAGTTGTGAGGAGAGAAAAGGAACTCTTCTGGGAAATCAGCTCATTCTCCACCTCATCCGCTAACGGCAGTCATATGTGACATTTAAAGCCCTGACGCCTGTGAAAACAATCAACTTTCACTTAGAAGATGCCACTCAAAGAGCAGCGTGTGTTCATCATGCGGCCTTTAGCTCAGGAATGGAGTTAAGAGCAAAAAGAAAATTCCAGGAAATGACAGTTTTTAGAAATACCTACAGTATTGAGCTATTATATCTTGCGTAAGGGTCGTTTTAAGGGTGAGCTGAGGTTTTAAACTGAAGTTAGATTTCTATAAGATTATGTTTATGTTTTATGGGATGGTTAGCACTACCAGGAACTAGAAGATGCAGAAAATAGTCCAGAAAATAGACGTAATTTCCCAATTTAACAGCATCATAGAAAACTTAATAGATTTACCAAGCGTAACATCCTATTTCCTGGCTCACTTAACTCTTGAAGTGGCCGTGTGGATTTTCTTATTTTGTCTTCCCACTCTTAACTTTAAGATATATATCAGTGTTTTCTGAGTGCAACTGGATGCTGGTACCTTTTAAAGGCAAGAACATCTGTTGTATCAGGTTTATTTCATTAATCTTAAACAGCTTCAGATCTCATTTTAATTGTCAATTTCACTGTATTTTACAGTTTTTTTTACCCATTGACTTCTGTGTATGCTTAGCCTTTATCTGAATTATTTTAATACATATATACTTGATTTCTTTATTTTGTTTATGCATTATTTAAAAAAAAAAGTCTTCATGCCAAATACAATATTTTGAAGAAATTTGCAAGCACATCTCTGGTAACACAATATTTTCAAAGTGGTGCTTGTGCAAGATTATTGGTTGATACACTTTTACAGATCTGTCAAATCAACGAATAAATATATAAATAAACGTCTCCAGTTGAGGACAGCCCTAATGTTTTCTGAGCATCATACAAGCAGCTGTAAAGTAGATGGCTTGGTGAGCACAGATATTCAATATTTGGCAAATTCATTATTCACTTACTTAAAAGGTCAAACGTATCATATTTGTTTAGTATACACGATTGCACGTCTTTATGATGCGCTGCTCAAACTGACTCTCAGCAGCTGGACTCTCCCCTCACATGTTTATTTAACCTGAAATCACCCGGCACACCCTGATCACACACAGGTGATCTGCAGCATCCATCTTAATAAACACCCTCTGAAACCAACTGCTGCATCAGCGATAATGGATGCGTGCCACAGGCGAGGGTGTGACTATAGGTCATTATAAACATTTGTTCTCTTTGTCTCTGACGGATATCAATTTACAAAATCAAAGTGAACACTTTGTATCGTAATTACTGTACAGAAACTTTGTAAGCTGCTTTTCTGCATGTACAATACCAGGAGTCCAGTTTACTTTAAAGGTGGGGTATGTAATTCACTTTAGATACACTTGTTGTTATATTCCATGGAATGCTCTTAACATACCGATAGCAATGAATACATTAAATGCTTTGACAATAAATACATAAAAACATTTCATCTGTGGAAGCCGTAGTACTGTAAAAAGCACGACCAATCATCTGAGCCGGCCCGGCTAAAATAACTGGATGGCCTACCTGCCTGTCAGCCTTCCATCTGTGCACAAACTTATCTCGTGCCCTCATTGGTCATGTGCGCGTTTGTGTGTGTTGGAGGAGGGGCTCTGTAAGGAAGTGGCAGATTTTTTTCGGTTGTGTATTTTCAAATTCTAGCGCACACGAGCTGGTTTACTTCAAAATGACCTACCCCACCTTTAATGCAAATATGTTAGTACTCTGACAAGAAGTTTCTGACTTGATTTAATTCCTTAAAGGACCTGTATTTAGAGGTATTCCCACAGCACCTGTATCTCGGGACTTCTTGTGGCCTTTTTACAGAAACTCAATTATTTCTAAATTTACGCTGCCCTACAAAGCTGAGAAAGACTTCAACTGCTTTGGAAGTGAGACAGAAATGTCTTATTTCTCAAACATTCATTTCAAATGCATTTTTACAACACTTTTTTTTAACACGTGTACATTCATAATTATCATAAAGAAAACATTTCCTTCTGAACAGATCCAAAGATGTGATAAATCGGAATCATACATTGTTCAGCCGTAACTCTACTTGTGTTTCCCGGTAAGAGACCTATAATGAAACTTATTAAGATCTCGCAGTAACGCTAAATGTTTGGCTTTGTGGTTATTATGAAGTATTTCTGGAACATATCAATGGAAACTTTCTGAAGTCTTTGAGAAAGGAAACAGAGAGCAGCTTGTGGTTAACTGTGCTTTGTCTTCTAATACATCTTCCTCTTGTGGTTCCTCTCTGTAGATATTATATAGAAGTGTTTGAAGGGGATTTCTTTAACTTTTTAGAAAATGCATGAATCCTCCTAGAAAGTGCAGTAAGTTGTTGCTAAAAGCAGACGTTTATTATTCCAGTTTTTGTATTTGTCTAACGATAGTCTTTGGATATTTAAATGTATTTTAAAGTTAAATACAAGCAATCGTTTTTTGTTCTTTTGTATGAATCAAGGTCTTTAAATACTGGTATTGGATCCACCTTGCAACTCATCTCCAGATAAAAAATAACAAAGCACAGGACTAAAAAAGGGAAAGAAAAGTGCAGGAAACACAGAGAACTATTCTACCTTTTTATTCAGGTTTATACACTTGTTGACAATAAGCAGAGCATGCATGCTCTTTTTCAGAAACAAACAAACACGACAAAACTTCACAAGTCATTCACATTTAACTATCAGAGCCTCACAAAAAATCTGAATTTTTAAACTAACATAGGAACTAGATTTGTGTTCATATGCCTTAATACTGCGGGATACTTAATTGGAAAGATTAATCCATTTCACGCAAATGTTTAATTACATTTACTTATTAAAGTATTAGCAGCTTTTCACTGCTTTAGCTCTCAGAATTTGTTTTGCTTGGAGCTTTAGTTTTCCTTCTTGTTATTTGTCAATTTTCTTAGAAATTGTGCCTACATTTTATAATTAATCCCAAATTGCAAATAGGCGTTTCAACCGAGGGGAAGTCTCCTGTCTCAGATGCTAATGTGACCCAGAGTAAAGTTAGCTGAATGAGTTATTGTGTTATCCAGAGGAAACACACAGAGCTAGGATACGCGTTTACCGCTTCAAAACATGTAAAAAGTCTACATGCACATTAACACAATCACATCAAAAGGATCAAAACTATATAAGAGAAGTCAACTATATTTTATATATAGACCTATAAGCAGACTTTGTCAGTTCACATAATTTCTTCTGAATTTTTTTTTTTTTTTACCAGGACAATAATTGATGCTGAAACAAAATCAAAGTCCTCTTGCTTTGACAAACGTGTCCGTTGAAGGCTCCTCCGACCCCCCTTCCCCAGTGAGTACACTCTTTATATTCCCCTCAGCGTCCATGACCACGGTGGTCCTCTTCAGCTCCTCGTAGCGTGTCTGTCGCTCGGCAACAGCCACGCAGGCGGCCAGCACCTCATCCGACTCAAAATCAAAGTCCTGCTTCAGCTCCGGGGCGTTAAGGATCTGGTTTTTGGTCTCCTCTTCTTGTCGGGTCTTCTCTTTTGTTGCCATCTCCTGCTTCTGTAACCTCCAGGCCCACTCCAGGTCCTCCTGCCACAGGGAGCGCTCTGACGGGCAGAGGTGGATCGCCACCTGGAAGGACCTCACGGCCTACAGGGACAAGCACCAGGTGAGCTTAGGGTTCAAACACATAGCTCTGAGGGAGGGTCATTAAAAAAGTGACTTTATTTCTTCCTGGAATGTACTGTTTCATCTGGATTTTTTTTTCAGGCCCTTTTCTGCCCTGCTCTGTCACAGATGAATGGTATGAGATTGGAGCTGATAAGAGCCTCATCAGCTTGTCTACAGAGCGAGACGTTAAACATTCCTCGTGCAGACAGATTTATGGTTTCATTAGGAAGACGTCAATAGCTCGCAGCTGACTGTGCATTTGTAGATTAATGTGAGAATTATTGTCCCAATAAAAGAGGAATACAAACGGCCTCCTGTGGTTTCTGGGACCTGACGTCAAGCTGTGGCTGTGACGCCGTGCTGTGACATGGTGACATAAATCTGTCCCTACATGGAGGCCACTGATTAGCTCGTAAAGTGATTCTGACAGAAGTCTGAAATCTCTCAAGCCTTTTCTCACAAATTCAGGCAAATCTGAATCCACCTAAGAGTGTTAACAATAATCTGAATAACACTGACTGGAAACCCATATTAAAAGCCAGTTACCACAAACAATGTAAATGTAACTTGAATAACACTGAAAGTTCAGCTTATTTAAAAGGAGCACACTACACATTTTACAAAGAAGTGTGTAAGCCTCAGCCTGTAGAACATGTTGGTGTCTTCGGAGGCTCTGAAGGCGCTCAGTGACTTTGATTAAAAGTCAGATGTTCTTTAATAAAAGTGTTTCTGAGGGAATGCAACACCTGAAGCTAACCTGATGCAAACAAATCAATCATTGTATTAAAGAATCTTTCGGTTTAAAGTACACTCTGGAGGAAATACAAATAAAATATTGACTTTTCATCAAATGATAAACGGTGATAAGAACTGCCGTCGCCCACGTTGGTCATGAACTGCTTTTCAAAAACATTAGGGGTAAAATGCTGAATTCATTTTCATAAAGTTACACACAAAATGATAACACTAATTTTTGACGGATGAGGTCAATGACAGTTCATTGAAGATCTGCTGCTCGCTTGTCATTTGTTTAGTGAATGTATGCTTTTTGCAGATAAGAAATAGAGTGTCGGAGTTTAGAGAATCTGCCAACCAACCTTAGTGTTTTCTAAATGTACACACACTTTTCTGACTGAAGAGCCTGGACTGTGGTAAAGGAGAACAACCCTGGCAGTCTGAGGTAGACATAATATATTTAACTAGATGAAATAAAGGACCTACACTTTATTGGTTTTATCTAAGTCGATACACATCCATAAAATCTGCCCTGATAACCATCTTCCCCTGGTACGCTGTGAACAGATGAAAACACACATCTACAGACAGCTTTGCCTTTCGGTTGCACCTGTTCCCAGCGACACTGACACACTCCCATTGTGAAAAGATAATCAGTCAGTAAGTCATCCCCAGAACAAATCCCACATGTCCAACCTGTGGTACCAGTCTGGCTGAGGAAGTGTCATTGATGCATCACACCTCAAGAATGTAATCACCAAAACAAACTGTTATTTCCCAAGAGACCTTTCACCCAAGCTTTAACAACACAAGGACATTTAGTTCCAACCTCATGAGGCTTTTTCAATGAAGAAGATCGGCTTCAATAAGTCATTTTGTATAAAACAAGCAAATAAACGCCTACTTGAGTAGTTTGTGTGAAGCTGAGCCTCCGTATAAAGCTCTTCATGGGAACCTCACAAAAGGCCAACCATTTGTACAACTTGATGTCAAATGTGCCTCACCTCTAACATGAATAACCTGCACTGCAAAGTTCAGCTGAAAAACTGTTTGACATGTTACACTCAAATAGATTTCTGGCTTTTGAATCGTCTCAAAACAACAACAGGTTTCATCTTGTACAGACCACAGTCGCATCAGGTTTTTATTTCTAAAGTAATCCTTCAACAGGCAGATCAACCGGCTCCTTTGTGATAATAGTGAGAGATAAATGGAGATGGAGCTGTCACGCTGCAATGATGACAGTTTGCAATGTTTTTAAAACATTAGGAGACATGAGGAATAACAAAATCAGAAGCTATATGCTTATTTCATTTGGGTACTTTCCAGAAAAGGAAAAGACTCATGAAAAGAGAGAATCAATGCGCTCAAACGTGTTGATGCACACTACGCTTTAAAACTTGACTGAACAAGTCTCGCTATAAATAGATGTCCCCTTTTTTTCGCCTTCCTTCCCAACAGCTTCATTATTCAACAAGGTGTGTCTATATTTGGTTTAGTTTTTAGCTCAGGTAACTTTCAACACTTCCATTGTTGTCCCTGTGCCGTAGGACAGGTCTCCTGCTCTAAGGAGGGACAGCTCCTGTATCTGAAGGGTTTCAGAGTTCAGGTCTGTTTGTTTGGCTCTAACCGGGCGAACGAGGAGTTCTGCAGGTTTCCTGCACCCACAGGTCCCGGCGTGTTCTCGGTAATTTAAGCAATCGTCCAAGCCCGAGGCGAGAGGGCGTGATTTTAAAAAGAGGAACATCTCGGAGCGAAGTGCAGAAAAAAGTAAACAGAAAATAACTGACGTACTTTAACAGCCCCTCACACAACTGATTTATAGGCGGCTACTATCAGGTGTAGTTCATTGCAAAATCAAACATTCAAAGCTATTCCAAGGAAGATCATGAGTGATTGTCTGAACACAAGAACATATCTTTTAACGATACTACTGAGGAAATGTGGTAACAGTCAGTTAAGAGCGCCAGCATGAAATCTGGTGTGTTTGCATGAAAGAAAATGGGTTTATATTAGTATAGTATAAAACATTTTTAGATATCTATTAATGTTATTTATTGAAGTACACTGCCACATTTTTTCTTTTCATGTTAATATGAATATTTGTAATAGAGCAACATCACCAAACATGATTTTCTAATAAGCTGTAAAATAGATTTTTTTTTAAATAAAGTTAAATAAAATATAAATACATAAAGTATTCTGAGTCAGATTTTTCACTCAAACCCAGAAATGCCTTTCTATTTAATCCCCTCAGAAATAACAGTTTCAGCCCATCACTCACACACAATCATCTGTCATTTGTAAACAAAGGAATGTCGTTTTTGTTACAAGTTCTGTGTCCTCCCACACGACTAACACATTCCTCCATCTGGTATTTGCATGTACATACAGGACCTGAATTGGAATGCAATTTGACAGCGTTTGCGATCAATTACATTTCATCTGGAGTGTGTGTGTGTGTGTGTGTGTGTGGCATCAATACTCACCAGGTCCACCTCTCCCAGGTTGAGCTGAGCTCGGCCCAGGGTCTGCCAGCCCTCCCACCACAGGGGGCGCAACTTCACCGCCATCTCCGCTGCCTTCACTGCAGGGAACACCTCCTGCAGGATGGTGAGCACCTGAGGAGAAACCAGACGAGGTTAAAGACCCTTAAAAAGCTACTTTCACAAGGAAAACCAAAGTGTGATTACTCAATACAAATTGGTAGTTGAAATTCTTCTAGCAAAAATGATATTTCTTTCTCCTCAAATGTGATTTTATTTTGCTGTTTCTCATAATTTTATATCCATATTTATATAATTTCAGATAGATATCTTTCAGTTTCGACTGTTGGTTGCACAAAACGAGTCACCTTTGAAACTGACGGGTGATTTTGTTTTTGTTCCCCTACATGACCAATTCCCTATTTGAACATAATGTACCAGAATACATCAACTGCAGAGTCATGGTCACAAGATTACTTTGTATAGTTTACTTTGAACTTTTAAGTTCATTCCCTTCTTTAACCTTGCCAGAGACTTATTAATCATAATGTACTCAGACACTCAGTAGCTGAATGCATGCAGCTTCACCTGGAATTTTTATATTTTGCATTACCGTCAAGAAAAAAGCTATTAAGAAAATCATTTGCATAACAATCTGTGAAAACTAATTGGGGACGAAAGGCTATTTAAGAGGCTCATTCATTATTGGCAGTAATGGACTTTGCTGTGACATAAGTGCCCGAACAACTTTGTATTGTTTCCATCTCTGGAAGAAAATCATGCATACATGTTTCATTCTGTGTATGCAAGTTTGCTTCACAGCACAGCTCTCTGCTGGACTGAAAGAGTGCATATCCTCTCAGTTTCATACATCATTTGGTTTAAGCACAGACTCCTCTGAGACACGAGTGCACTTCTAAGCAACAAAACCCAGACCTAAAACAAGTGAGGAGCAGTAACTCTGACATGGGGCCGGGCAATATGAAGAAAAGCCAATATTATGTTATTTCTGATCAAATTCCTCAATTTGTAGTACGTTTGACCACTTTCACCAAATATTACCAGTTACACTTTTTAATAAATAATCATCACTAATGTGTAGATATAATTACTTTAATGTCCATAACTGAATGTTAAAGTTTAGAAAGAATTATCCTTACTTATTTTAAAACCAGGAAAAGACACTAAAGCCATATCATGAAATTACGACATAAAACACATGATAATAGTCTTACATCATGATATCGATATATAATTGATATATTGCCCTACTTTTATGTAGTTAAGTCTTTCTTGCAAGATGAAAGAATAAGCACAATATTTGTAGAAGTCGCCTTGATGCCCAGGCTTGATAAAAAGTCAAACAACATAGCTACTTATATTCACAAATATCAGTTTGAAGACACTGAGAACCAAACTGCTATTAGAGCTGTTAAACTGTTAGTATGCATGGACCACAGTGTCTCTGAATTATACCAAAGGAATATATTAAAGATTCGTATCACAACGAAATATACGGCAAGAAATAGCTGGAAAAGCCCAACGAACCCTCGTGACTTTACAACAAATCTACAAACTTTTTTTGTTTGTCTCCATCAGCTGAAATCCTTTATAATGTAGCCAGGAAGATGTGATTTCCTGCAGAGTGCACAACAGTCTGCTGTAACAGACACACAGACACACAGTGGGCGTATGAGGCACAATACTGATCGAGTTAAATGGGAAGAAAGTGACAAAGGGAGGTAAATGACCAGCATCAGTGCAACCGTCCTCGTCATCTGGGCCAGTAATGGGAACAAGAGGAGGTCAGGCCTATTCTCAGCCTCATAATGGACACTGATATGTTAGATATGCTTTACATGTGCAGTCAAACACACACACGCTGAATCGAGGGAAAAACACATTTCCTTTTGTCATGCTTAAATTCATTTGTAGCATGAGGAGGATTCTTCCCCTTTGTGGTGGCTTCCAGGCCTGGCGCTCTAATGATTTCCTTCTCAAATATCCTATAATGGATAATATTGTATTAGGCATACACTGGTTATGGCCATAAACGCGATTTCATTGGGTTAGTCGTAGTAAATGAAGGCGGAAATCATCGAGTGTGTCTGTTCAAAGATGCCTATGATCGAAGAAAGGAATGATGGCTAGATAACAGACGAGGAAGTGAAAGTAACCGGAGAAAGGAACAAGGAAAAGGAGCGTAAATACATTAAAGCTGTTTGAAACATGTTGCAGGCGTTCATTTCTCTCATCACTGTGCTCATATTGACTTATCTATCTTAAAAGCATTCCACAGTGGCAGCTGGAAGAGGGTCTTATGTGGCCATGATGGCTGATAAATGATCAGACAGAGTACTAAGGCAGGGAGGTGAAGAGCATCAACATCATGCTGGTGGAGAGTAGCATTCCCAAACCAAAGGTCATGAAGGGAATAAGTGGTCAGTTATCAGGAGAGTAGCTGGCAGTGACTGATGAACTTCATGTGTTTGCCATTAACGTCTTGGAATATCCTAAACAGGAAACCCCTGTCGGATATATCGTCCTACGCAGATGTAAAACTAGAAACCCTAACTGCGGCGATAAACAGAATAACAGGTAAATATTGATATCCTTCTATATATGCATGATTGAACTCTTTGAAATTTTAAGTTAAACAAATTGAAATGTACAGAAAAAAAGAGTTCCAAGAGATTTCAAGAGGAGAGGTTAAGAAAATGACATTGACCTACTCTAGTGTATGCACCAACAAGTGACATGACAAAAGACTGCTTTTTACAGAATATAATATCAAAGCCAAGCCTATATGTAATCTTTGAATATTTGTATTATTATGAGGAATCTCCTAAAGAAAATCCACTTAAGTGTTTCTGTGACTTTGTGCTGTAAAAGCATTCAAAAAAAAAAGCTTTGAAGGATTTCATGCCGCCTCTTTCAGTTTACTCAAAAACATATGGAGTTACATTCTGGTGAAACAACTGTCTTTGTATAATGAAAAACCATCTTGATTACCTTAGTACTTTAAAAAGGCAGCTGTTTGACTGCATCGCATTCTAGGCACGCTTGAACTGTGACAGGAACGGCAGCAACATACTGCGTATACGACATGTGGTTAAAGACAATAATAACCACCTTAGCTCAACGACTAGCTGCTTAGAGGGTAGGCTCACGTTTCCTCACATATCAAAACACAATTGTTCGCGGTTTAATTGGATTATGGGGTAATGTAGGACTCTTTTGTAGAATATATAGAGAATGTAGAAGACTGTGTAGAATACAAAAAGAGGCTTTAGAACTTAAGTGGGTTGAAACAGACTTGAGATGGAAGACATGATGTGTAAGCAGGGTTATATGCAGGAATCCTGAAGTTACATTAATACCTTTTAAGAGTTTTTTTAAGACCCTTTCCATACATTTTAAGACCTCACTTGGAGTTTTAAAAACCGGTTACCTTGGCGACACACTTTACCTCACATTGACTATATACAGTATTGATTGTCCTTCCTCCTTATCTTCCAACCATTTGGACGCAAACTTGCATTTCCCCATAAACGATGTGGTTTAACAACCGGCGTAAACGGACCTTCGCGCGCTATCAAGCAGTGAGCGTGCGATGTCCTGTTCAGGATGAACGTCAAACCAACGGGATGCCATAAATAAACTACACAGAATCACACTACACAACCTACGCAATGATTACTGTAAGAGCCATTTAGGCACATTATTTATGGTAATGAATGATTGGTTTTGTGAGCCAATTGAATATTCTTTCAATTTTAACTTAAATGAGCCGAATAACTATGAATTATTATGATACTGTTTTGTAACGTGTTATCTTGCTTATGGACAGCTCTAGTTTATGTTTTGTTATTATTTATAAAAAGCAATCGTAGGAGCGTGCTCAGGTATAAATGACGCTGCCAGCATGACAACAGCAGGAAGTCTAGAGAGGAAGTTGGAAAAAGGTTTTGACCGCACACATGCCGTATGACCGATGGATCTTGTTTGTGTTATTTTGTATTAAATACCGTGCAAATGTTGCCGTCGGCAGTGGGCCGCCAGCTGATCCATTGAACCTCTCAATAAAGCACCTGAATGGAACGAGCAAGGTATCGGATTTCTTGAATATACGCGAGTCAATACTCGAACTCGCCTCCTAGACTAAGTGGCCTTTGAACATTCATTTTCTTTTGGACAATTGGCCACTACAATTACATTCAGGCAAACTGTAGAATACAACCTCTTTGGACAATTTATATACTTAATGAAAACAAGCTACAAAATGTAATACCTTGGAAAACGCCGTTTCATACTTTTTAAAGGTGGGGTAGGTAATTTTGGAGAAACCGGCTCGAGTGCACTAGAATTTGAAAATACACAACCGGAGAAAATCTGCCAGTTCCTTACAGAGCCCCTCCTCCAACACACACAAACGCGCACATGACTAATGAGGGCACGAGATAAGTTTGTGCACAGATGGAAGGCTGACAGGCAGGTAGGCCATCCAGTTATTTTAGCCGGGCCGGCTAAAATGATTGGTCGTACTTTTTACAGTATTACGGCTTCCACAGATGACATATTTTTATGGATTTTTTGTCAAAGCACTTAAGATATTCATTGCTATCGAGATGTTAAGAGCATTCCATGGAATATAACAAAAAGTGTATCTCGAGCCGGTTTCTCAAACTTACCTACCCTACCTTTAATAGCCTTCATTTTCTCTACATTTATTTATCAACTTGTAATACTTTTTAAGACCCCGCGGACACCCTGGTATGTATGGTATGGTGAGAATAATAGTAAATATCAACATTTGATTTAAATCCTACCTGAGACTTCATCTCATACAGGAGCGGGTTGTCTGGAGTCAGCTCAATCGCCTCGTCCAACTTCTTAATGGCCTCCCAGTGCCTGGAGAAAACACAAAATGCCGTTTAATCATTTTTTTTTTGCATCAAAATAAACATTTACCTATGAATGCTGTTGTAAACCGCAATGTGTTGTATAATTAAAGACACATGCATTTGAATGATTAATAGTGTATGAATGTTTGTCGGCTGTGATCTAAAGTTAAAAATGGAAAAAATAAAATGACAATTAAAAGTATAGATAGAGTCTGCACACTTGATTATGCTCCCATGAAATTATATTTAATAGAATTACATTCTAGCGTAAAGCTCTACTTAAGTAAAGGACGCTTCAAACGGCAGTTGTCGGTTATTAAATGAGTTCATGTCAGCACAATTATGCTTTTGTAAAAAAAATGATGATTAGTGCCCAAAGCCACCAACGCCCTACACGGATATCTACATTACATCGTGTTGAACATGGCTTTGTATAAACTCTGGCCAAAGTTCCATTTTTGGATAAAGCAGCACTGAAGCATGACTCATTCAAGAAAGAGAACTGAAATTAGACACTCAGTTTGATTGTCTCCGCCCTGAGATTTGATATGTGTTATGTAACACAACACATGTTTGTGAGTGGGTATCATGAAGCCCTTTCCCCTGGATATATCTGTCTCTGCATGTTAGAGAAGCTGCTCCTGTCATTTCATTGTTGCAAATGACATCTCAAAAGCTGATGAATAGACTTCTATGAAGCTTGGCTGAGTCACATTCAAGTAAATGTTTACTATCACCTTTGTGCACTTTAGTTATTCATCATTTCACTCAAATAATCAAATCAATGCTTTGTTCTTTTGACATTTAGATGAAATAAAGCAGAAATGGCTCCTAGAAGAGTAGTGTACATAAGCTTATTTATGCTATAACGCTGCAAGCATACTCCACAATACCTGTGCACCTGTCTGACAGAATGGAGAGATACAGCAAGCTGAATAAACACACACTGAGCTGAATACATGCATATCAAACTCTATCCAGGGAAACATCATGCAGTCACTTTGTTTGTGAGATTTCTGTAAACAGGTTTTGCATACATTTGGGCAAAGGCCACACGGCATCCTGTCACCTCTGTGGTCTTCTGATCTGTGTTGCATAGATTTGTTTATAAAGGTTGACAATTTGATTGGTATTTTACGAGGAAAAAGTCCCGTTTTAACACACTAAAAAGGACACATGCTCCTCCTCAAGTCAATATTGAATCTGTCAGTAGCCTGATAAAGATAAGGGAATGGAATGATTATGAAATGAAATCCTGTGTTTAACAATATAGTATGTCCGCCCTCATGTTTAATAGCTTTATTAAGAAGGATATGAAAACATGAAAAGCAATTAAAACCACACAATGAGACCTTTAACACTGATAAGTTATACAACTCAGATAATAGCCAGAAGCAGGATCAAGCCTGAGAAAACATTGAACTGATATTTAGTCAGAGAGAGGAGTGAGGAAATGGAACTAGAGCAGTGTGGAAATCTTACTGACATGTGAGGCTGCAAAACCATGTGAGGAAATGAAGCAATACACATGAGCGTGAGAGCTATGAAAGGCTCTTCTACTGTTATCAAATGTCTGTGTACCAGTCAAAGTAAAGGCAGAGAGAGAAGATACACTAATGCCTGCAATCAGTGGTTCAAAAGATCATATCTAGTTCAAGAAAAGTAAGCTAATGTGAAATAAATTGAGATTTTTGCAGCATGTTTTGTGATTAAATAAGTAGAGGGTTAGGGTATAATGATGCTTTGCTGTTCAAAAGGAGGAAACATCCCAAATAGTTATGTTGACAACACTAAACTAGTAACCTATTCTAAACTAAACAAGCTGTCCCATTGGATGATTGCAAACTCAGTATTAGTCTGAAAAAATGACTCAGCATGACAGCTGCAAGTCAGCTAAAATATTTGGAAACATTTGGATGAGGATTTTACTTGCTGTCTCACCAAACTCCCACGTATCCCAAACATTGCTTTTTCTTCTAAAGAAAGGAAGCAGGCCAACAAGGCAGGATTTTGCAATGCATGGCTTATTTTTTTACCTTAACTGATGATATTGAATACAAAGAAAAAGCCAATATCAGAGTAGAGCTATTATATTACATTACATTACATTACATGTCACTTGTTAGACGCTTTTATCCAAAGCAACTTCCATACTCAATACTGTGGGCAATCCCCACAGGAGCAATTTGGGGTGAAGTGTCTTGCCCAGGGACACAACGACATGCTGACTGCAGTGGGACTCGAACTTGCTATCCTGTGATTCGAAGATCAGCGCACTAATCCACTGCGCCACACACACTAACCCACTGCGCCACACGCCTCCCTTTCACAGCTATAAAGTGAAAAGTAAGCCTGATAAAAAAATACAGGAATAATCCTTTATTATTTTATTTTGTAAAAAAACCCGAAGGAATAATCATTTATAGAAGATCAGACTCATATAATGTTCCTATTTTTACTTATTTATTTATCTATGCAGGTATACCTAAAGATTATGATTAATTTATTTCGATGATTACTTTAAAAGGATGCTTAGTAAAACATGTAAGTGTTTCTTTCTTAACAAACTGTAAGGTAAGGTGATTCCAATGTGTTTAAGTGCGATTTCAAGAGTTTTAAATGCATTTTGATGATTAATATTGCAAATTGCAATTGGTATGTAGAGAGTTTATGATATTTTTTCATGCAGTTTAAATGGGAAACTCTCACTAACAAAACGTTTTTTTCTTCCAGGCCTACTTACTGCACAAAATAGGTCTCAAACAAAACGAGAGGCAATTCAAACAAAGGCAAAAGAGTTCATTACATCAGGAGCATCTAAAGCTGGGTAATGACAGCTGACATCAGAGGTCAATGTGTTTAGAGGAGCTCCTGGCTGACGTCCCCGACCAGACACCATCTCAAACCTCAGAACAGCCATTACGGAGCAGCAGGACATCACTTCCCCGGCAAAATCCACTTTCTCCTCACTTATACCATTACAGGCAGTCACTAAGGGCAACAGCACTCGACTGAGGGGAGTTTATGGGCCTTACTTGGGCTAAAAAGGTCAATTATCATGGGAGGAATATCACATTACAGTTGTAGGCCTATTTCTCTCCTTGCATGTGTGTCTGGAAAATTCTGGAAATGTATACAAAGGAAGCTGAGGGATTTTTTTGCCAGAGTCACACAATATAAAGCTGAGCATTGCTGACATTATTTTTAAAATCCACCAACAGATCAATATAACTTAACATTTAAAAAAAGTTAATAACAATATGCATTTATAGGCCGGAATACCAGCTGGTATGGAATGGAAAAAATATAAATGACTGGAGTTGCATCCATTTACTTATATTATCCTGAGGAAATCAAAATCTATACAAAAACATATGCTTGCACAAACACACCTTACTTTAACAAAAAACGAATAAAATATAAGGAAAAACTCCAGGTTGGATTGCTCTGTTGAATTCCCCTTCAAAATGCAATATTATTGAATTTAATTCAACTTGATAAGCATCCAGTATGAACCCATTCGTTTTGTTGATGGGTCTGTGCGCTTTGTACAATGGTGCCCTCCCATGGAAGATTTCTAATATCACATGTATAGTTATTTGAGCTCTTGTAAAATATAAGTCTATCTTGCATGATCAACAAAAGCATAGCAAAAGCTGGAAGTGTTGTTATCCTCAATGCAATCTCCCTCCTTTACAAAGAGCAAGTCTCCTTAAAGCTCGTCTTAAGCAGATCCTGCTTCAGAAGATAGGGATCTGATGGTTCACTGGCTATGTTAATAACTTTTTATGTACCGAGTGATTAAGCGCGATCAAACCCCTCCTATCAAATCCAGTAGTCCACATCAAGAATCCCACAGCACACACACAGGAAGCCCTCAGTATCAGCATAGAATAACATATGATTCAAGTTGTAATCCTGCAACTTATAAAACTGGCACACAGTCTTTCAAATGTCTTTCAAATGGCTTGTTCACCACTTGTCATTGTTATCAAAGCAACCAACTCACTTTGCTTTTTTTTTGGAGTCATAATGAGAAAAACCCTAACTAATTCCGCCAACGACTAACATGTCCATGTAAAATGTATGTGTCTCTGTACACTAGGAATTAAATAAAGACGTTGTACAAATAAAGAATGTTTGCTGTCTGACTGTTATTGTTTATAGCCAGTGGTGTAAACTAACCACTGGCAGTACATTTACTCAAGCTGCTACTCTGTACTTCTACTCCGCTACAATTTAGAGCTAAATTGTGTACTTTTACTCCACAACATTTATTTAATACCTTTAGTTACGTTGCAGATTTGACTAATGATGTGAACTATAATCAAGTCTTAAATCAGACTTTAGTTACACCAGAGGCCTGTACTACGAAGCTGGTTCAACCTAACCTGGATATGTGGAGTTAGCCGGTTGGGCCTAAGCCAAAACTACGCGCTGGCGCTAAGCTGTACTACGACGCCGGTTATCAAGTGGATCGCTCAAGCCAGCCGTGTCCTATCTAGTTAGGTGCGCGTTCACATGAAAGGGGTGGTATTTGGAGCATTCGACCAATCTCAAACACGGAGAAGCGTACTGACAGCGCAGGCGTCATACTTCCTGAATGAAAAGTGAACTTTAATATTAGTCAAATATGAAGAAGTTAAACTTTAAACATCCATGACTTAAACACTTTATCCAGGATAAAAGCCACATAGCTGCACCTGCAAGGTGAATACAGCTGGTAAAAGAAAAAGTGTTTGAATGCGTACATTAACAGGTTTATGATATCACTGCCCCGTCCAAGACACGAGTGGATCTGACTTTAATTAGGAGAATTTGACTCGAGTGTTTCGTCAACTTAATGTGTTGGCTTAAAATAATACTTCTGCATACAGTATGTGACACTGTGAGTGTTGCACGGCCAGATACGGCTCAAGAAGCTGACTCAAATAAGGAATATATGATACATTATGATGTGATATGGATATGAATGATAATGGGACACATCGACGTCTGCACTCACATTGCCGCGGACTGTACTTAATGTTACTCTGATCCGGTTACTTATGTCCGTGGCAGATATTTAAGTAAGCTTTCTTAACGCTAATATTATAATAGTTCGATTGCTCTGAAGATGGGAGGGGATATTCTATTAATTTCACGTTCACACAGTCAGTTGATTTTGGCCGGCCGTCTTTCCTGCAACGGCAGTTTTTCTGTATTTCCTCTATCCTGTAATATGAATTGATCGCTTTAAACTCCGCACACGGAGCTCTGATTGGTCAGCAGGCGGTGCTTTCACTGAGTTGATCTCTTAGCCTGCCACCTAACCTGCATCCGGAGCAGGTTTGGCCGCTCAGCATAAGTTACCATGGAAATCTAGCCTGCTAAAAAGAGAACCAGCGTCGTAGGACCGGAAAGCCCGAGATTTCCCTGAATTTAGCCGGCTAAGCGAAAATCCAGCTTCGTAGTACAGGGGGGTATACTACGAATCAAGATTTTCGTTTAGCAAGCTAACTTCAGGGGTTTCCGGTCCTACGAAGCTGGTTCACTTTTTAGCGGGCTAAATAACTTATTCTGAACGGCTATCCTCCGGAGCAGGATAGGTTCCAGGATAAAAGCACCGCCTGCTGACCAATCAGAGCTCAGTGTGCGGAGTTTAAAGCGATCAATTCATATGACAGGAGGAGAAAGGAAATACAGTTTAAACTGCCGTTGCAGGAAAGACGACCGGCCAAAATCACCGACTGTGTGAACGTGAAAATTAATAGAATATCCCCTCCCATCTTCAGAGCAATCTGACTATTATAACATTAGCGTTAAGAAAGCTTACTTAAATATCTGCCACAACATAAGTAACCGGATCAAAGTAACATTAAGTACAATCCGCGGCACTGTGAGTGCAGACGTCGATGTGTCCCATTATCATTCATATCATATCACATCATAATGTATCATATATTTCCTTATCTGAGTCAGCTTCTTGAGCCGTATCTGGCCGTGCAACACTCACAGTGTCACATACGCAGAAGTATTATTTTAAGCAACACATTAAGTTGACGAACACTCGAGTCAAATGTAATTAAAGTCAGATCCACTCGTGTCGGGGCAGCAGTGATATCATAAAACTGTTAATGAACGTATTCAAACACTTTTTTTTTACCAGCAGTATTCACCTTGCAGCTGCAACTATGGTGGCTTTTATCCTGGATAAAGTGTTTAAGTCAGGGATGTTAAAGTTTAACGTCTTCATATTTGTCTAATATTAGTTGACTTTTCATTCAGGAAATATATGACGCGCTGCGCTGTCAGTACACGGCTTGTCCATGTTTGTGATTGGTCGACACACTCCAATACAACCCCTTTCATGTGAACGCACACCTAACTAGATAGGACACGGCTGGTTGAGCGATCGAGTTGATAGCCAGCGTCGTAGGACCGTTTAGCGAGAGCGGGGTTTTTTTTGGATTAGTCAACCGGATAACTCAAAACATATCCAGGATATGTTTAACTAGATTCGTAGTATACCCCCAGGCCTCTGGAGTACATTCACAAGCTACCCTGCAGTATACAAAGTCATTCAAACCTAGCTGCACCTTTACCAGCTTTGAGAACACTGCAATGCATCAATAACTATAATCAAAACATATAATTGATATGATTCTGAAGTGGGCCGATCTGAATAACCAGTTATTTTACTTTTGGTACAAGTATATTTTGATGCCAATTCGTTTGACTTTTACTTGAGTAACATTTTGATTGCAGGACTTTTACTTGTAACAGAGTATTCCTACACTCTGGTACTTCTACTTTTAATGAAGTACAATATCTGAGTACTTCTTCCACCCCTGTTTAAAGCTGTCACTGACTGTGATGTGCACACAGAGGAGCTTTAACCCTCAGCATGGCTCACCTGCCGTGCCCAGCCAGCTCTGCCCCCTCCTCCTTCAGCCTCTTGCTCTTGGCTGCACAGTCCTCCAGCAGGATCTCCTTCCGTCTTTTGATGGCGTGCAGCCAGTCCACCTCATCTTCTCTCCTGGGTCCAGCATCTTCTGGCTTCTCTGCTTCAGCCACAAACTGCTGCACAGCTGTCTTTGAAACCTTCTCACCAACTTTCCTCTTCCAGCCAAATGAAGCCATGCTGCAGGGAAACGACAGTGGGTTTACTAACAATATGCCCAGATATACTATTATCTCATATGAACAGTATCAAATATGTACAGGAAAGTCCAAACTTTTATTTTGAAATATCGTAAAACCAACTAGCTTTTGATGTTAGCATAATTTTACCATGACATATCCTATGTATCTTACCCGGCAATCTAGCTGCTACAGTTATATGTATATCCTATTTAAGGACAGTTACATAACTAACAAATATTACAAACAAATACTAAAAAAGCGACTTTATAAAACTGAAGACCACCATGGCAGTCACAACAATGCTAGCTAACGTTAGCTATAATAACCTAGCTAACATTCGCCACACATTTTTATATCTAAGTACATTTGATCACACAATTATCTTGTTTTGACATGATATATCACATTTGAATTTCTTTTTTAAAAACAGTAATTACGCACAAACGTCTACAGCTTTCCGTGGGCTAAAATTGACAAGCTAACGGAAGCTAAACCTCTGGCCATATTTGGTGACCCGGAAGTGTTTGAATGTTTACATCGTCTCTTAAAGAAACACAAACCGTATTTTTATATAGCCTACTAGCATGCCAGTAACGGAAAACGATTGAATTATAAATACGAACTACGTTCTGCTGACCTAAAAATACTTTGAATATCCTATAACATTTTAATTATGTTTACGATTTAAGGAAGTGCAGTTACTGAAATGTTATTTAGATCTGGCAGGACCTGTACTCCGTTTCCCCCACTAGATGGCAACACAGGGATGACTCAGAACAATTTCTTTAAAAATGTTTAGCCATAAAAGAGTTTATTTAATCTTAATTCATCATTGCTTTCTATCACAGTATGCCACTGCCCATACTGTTGTTTATGCACATGATCATATTTGTTAACACTGTTTTTTCCCCCGCCTGTAATTGTTTTTGCCAATACTATTTATATGTTTGTAATATTGCATTGCATTTTATTTATTTATTGTATTGCATGTTTGTATCTTCTTCAATACCTGTTTTTGCATATATTTTTAAATATTATATTCATTTGTTTATACTTTTGGAAAACACAATTGTGTTCCTATATGTACTGTACTGCACTTAATATAGCTGGATGAAAATGAAGTCTTTCTTATCCTAAATCGGTGGGATTTCAGATTACTAAGGTCTTCCCTGCTGGTGTTCAAACTCTTCTCCTGACAAGACATTCCCTGTTTGCAGTCTGAGCAATTAAACATTCCATTCACTGAGAAAACGGTTTATTTGATGACTGTGGTTGTAACACTCTAGTGTAAAAAGTTAAGTGCAAAAACCTAGACACATTTGTGTGCAATTTAGCAGTTTATTAGGCAAGTTGTGTATACAAATGATTTCAACACTGTCCATTCAGATTTACACTGGTCAATCTGGTAGGGTCCCTTTACACACCAAACAAAAATAATATTTATTTGAAGCAGTCCAAACAATTAGACTGACAGAATTAATCTGATAACAGTCTACTGGGACACAACTCCATAAAGTGTTGAAAAAGGTCACAGCTTTTCACACATTCATCTTTCCTACAAAACTCATGAAAAGTCTTGTAGTCAAAACTTGCAACTGCCCTATAAAACTAAAATGTTGTAGTTTTATTTCCCAAGAAACATAATGGGTTTATTTACCATGATCACTGTTTATCAGAAAGTCTTAAAACTGAGACATAAAAGGTCAAATGTCAACTAAATATTTCAGTCCAAACCTGCCCCACAGGACAGCAGGAGAAACAAGATCATCACAATTACTGTCCACTCTTGGCAATTTTTGTTACATTATGGTCTTGAATGTAAAATTGTTTATACAAATGAGATTGTAAGGGTTTTAAAGCTTTGGAGGGCTAAACACTGAAAACAGAGCAATTGCTTACAATTCTTAACTCAGATATAATGTAACGTTTATTTATTGAAAAAAGTGTCTGATATTACAATTTGAACATGCAAAGTTCTTTAAAACCTGGTTTAGCTGAATTAAGACAAAAATGAAGATATTATTAGAAACCAGTATACTGGTTTTCTATTTCCCCGCTACCATAGTTAAAAGATGGTAGCAGTAACTGAGGACTGAAGTAATATGGCAACAACAATCAGATGTTTTCTGTTATGTTTTATAGTGAATTATTTCTTTTTTTTGTGATACAACATACACTTAAAATAATCTGTGAATTTCTATGAAGTTATTGTGAATGAAAACTGTCAAAATATGTTGTCGATTCCAACCATTAAAATTGCAAAAAGTGCCAATAATTCTGACCAGCACTGGATTCCAACTTTTTCTGACATAAAACCGATTAACAGTACTGACAATAATAAGGCAGCCAAACAACAGAAACCGCAGCAAACTTTAAGACAGTGGACAGGAAATGGAGGGAGATGCATCATACTTGTGATTAAATACATATCTTAAACTTTGTGAGCTTAAGAGTAGTATGACATTTTTTTGTATCAAATATAATTCACCCCCACACATATTTATGATCTAAATGCTTGTGTGATATTTTTTTTCTTCTATCCGAAATGCAATCTACCAGGAAGGGCTTCACAAATCCAAGCTCACAAATCTGTTTCATATGTAAACTTTTTTTCCAAGGGAATGTGGGCAAAAATGACTGCTTGTCTGCCAATAAGACATCGTCATGCGCTGCATGTAATTCCTACATATCATTTTCAAATTGAGCCCCAAGGCCTCTACACTTGTAATGGATTGGCATCTACAAATTGGATGTAGGCAAAAGGCATTTCACTCAGTAATCATACTTAAATCCTAATTATGAATCTAAATTAAAATAAGAAAAAGAAAATACAACAAAAAAAAGTCAAAAATCAACTTGCCGTTTTAATGAGACACTGAAAATGATATATTTCTAGATTTTGACTGTCATGGCAAAATACCTCTTAAATGGTAAAAGCAGGCTATATTTATATGGAAAGACAATCAAGTATCAGAATAGTTGTGATTGAAGGAAACAGAGCTGTGATATTGATTTAAAAACCAGACAGTAAAAAAGGAAAATATATACCATCCAGCAATGGATCTTGATGCAATAAAGAAAACGAAAAATCCATGTCCAATAGAAGCAATACTCCGTCCACTGATAAATATATTCACGTCTTTATATATAAAAATGTAGGGGACAGACAAATTCAATTTTTTACAACAAGGACAAAACCATGACAATTTAGTCTCTGACAACTCCAAAGACCAAACATAAATCTGATGAAGCATTCTTTAGTCCCTGACACAAGACAGAAATAAAGGGGTCATTGTACTTCTTCAGAGTCCAATGAATGTGATGGGCATGACAGCCCTTGTTATAGCCAGTGCAGAGCCCCCATACATCTGCACCACCTCTCTGATCCCCACCGAGAGAAAAACAAGAGCAGCAGGAAAATTAAGAAACTTGTGCAAAAGTGCCTCCTGCATCCTTTTACGACTGCCACCTAAAAACACCCACCCCCAACGTGTGGCTTCCTTCTCTGCAGGCCAAAACTTGATCTTGTTCCCTGTACTGGAAAGCAGTGCTCCCTGGCTACAGTACAGACAATTCAGTGTAATCAACTGCGTATATATGTATAGTTGGGATGTGGACATTTGCTTTTTAAATTGATCAGGAAACTGTAAAACCCCCTCCTTAATGTTGTTCTGTCCTAGCTTTAGAGTAGCTCGTCTTTCACTTTTCCATATAACCCCCTTACATTCCCTGCCAGCTCAGTATACATCCCTTCAGTTTAGGGAACACTAACTTGCGTCAGTGCCATGGAACAATCACTTCATCCTCAGCCCGGATGAATTGAGCCATGAATCGGTTGCATGCTTATTGCTATAAAGACACTCGGAGAGGAAAAAAGGCTAGCGATTGTTTTGCAAGCTATCGTGCAAGTAGTTTAATAAGATTCGCGCACATCTCAAAGAACTCGATGGTGTGGCTTCCCGGTCGAGGGACGATCGCGGTGTCCGCCCCTCCCGTTGAGTCGATGGATGAAGTCAACGATGAGGCTAAGGAGCTCTCTGCGGCCTTGGCGAGGGGCACAGGGATAGACGTGGTTGGAGTTTCTGCCCCCTCTACATCGTTCTTTAGAGTGCTGCGGCAGTTGCCCACAGACCCAGATCGGAGAGGGGTAGCAGATCCAGATTTGGTCTCCATCATGTCATCTGAATAACAAAAGACAAAACATGTTTTATACTAAATCCACACAAAAAAAACAATTTGATTTAATTCCATATGAAGATCTACCCACAGTACTTGCAGGCCTTGTTACATATTAAACAAATTGAGGTATTCAAATATTACACATTTAATATATTAATGTTTTGAATATCTTTCCTGCTTTAGAAAGCAACAATTAGGTATAAATAGTTGTAGGCTGTTGGGAGACTTTATTGAGCAAACAGCTTTTATTTTATGCTATTTTACCTTATTTAAAGAGGATATATTATGATCATTTTCAGGTGTATATCAGTATTTAGTGCCTCTAACTGTGACATGTCTCCATGCTGTAATGTTCAGTAAGCACCTCTTTTCACCCTCTGTCTGAAACCAGAGCCAGTCTGCTCTGATTGGTTAGCTGGCCGGCTCTGTTGTGATTCGTCAAACCGCTTTGAGACATTCAGCCCCTTAGCCTATCACCTACTATGTGTTGGATCCCTAGGCAATAGATGCACACGTGTTACATAGTGATGTCACAGAAGTAAACAAAGGAGGCATTTAAGGCAGGGGGGGGGAATGTGTGGGAGCAAAACTCCCTCTGGAGGGAACACAGGGATTTTAGCCTCTGCAGACCATTTACATGCACAACAACCTATAACACACTACAGGAAAGGGAAAAGCACAATATGGGCCTCTATCATTTTCGAGACATGGGGGAGAAGGGTTATGACCCGGCTGGAATTCATGTTGCAGTAATGTGGCATGCGCTGAAACAAATCGGTTACTAAGGCGCTTCATAAGCTTTAATTCTAATGTCGAAACTAATCAGCCTTCAATTCCATAAAGCCATCAGTTACAGCTGCAGCTAAACATTAACTCTTTGGCTGATTTGGCTGCAGCTTGGAGCCAAAATGTAGTCTCATGCCCTTTACACAGCATGCCTGTGCCACGATGATACTGCTCATAACAACACTCTTATCTCTGCCTTTGAGGCACCGCTGCACACCTACACTGACTGGGCTGAAGCCCTCGACCCCGTAGTAAATCATTGATAAAGTGTACACTGACACAGCATACCACAGGACAGAAACCAGGTAAACATTACCTCGATACAGGGAGCTGAAATCAGGAACGCCAGAACACATGTTTCTACTTTAACTATCTTTCACAGTACAGGTTTAATGAAAAGTAAAAAATAAGGTATATTCATGCTATTTAGTGTCTCAGATTGTTTCGGTCTAAGTTATTGGAGTATTGGAAGTATCAGACGTATAAATGTCTGCATTCTCTAAAACTTTATGGGACTCAATGGCAATCCTTTGCAGTTCTTAAAACAACACA